GTTCTAAAAGTTGTTCGTCAACATCTGACAGGGATTTCTCCCGCGTTGAGAGGACTCAGAAGGAACGACGCGCGCATTTCCATTCAAGAAATTCGACTGAGCAGGTCGCTATTCATTGTTGTTTTTACCTTTTTGGTTTGTTGGATTCCTTTCTGGGTCATAGTCATAATAAGACGTTTTTCATTAGTATCACACATGCCAAGAAATTTGGAACTGTTGTGCATGTTTTTTCTTTACATTTCAAACACTGTTAATCCCGTCATATATGCAGGAATGAATTCTATATTCAGGAGCGAGTTTCGCCGTATCTTATCTTCTGGGTCGATGACTGTCTCCGCATGCACACAGCCACAAATTGAACAAGAAGAATATGAACTTGGCCCAGTGACGTCCAAGTAGGAAGGTCTGTTCCAGACAATTGGTTCGGCAACTAAAACACCTTATAATACATTTAATTTGAAATACACATGTAACAATCCCTATCCGCAAAATAACGAAGCTAATCGCGGCGGGAGGGAAATAAACTTTTAGAACCCTTCAATGACGAGTTTGAATGAACCACTTGCGATGGTTTCACATAATTGTCTGATTCAAACCACAAATCGTTTCAGTATCATTTTCGGGAAAGATTCGTCTGTCCATCATGGATATCATGATGATGATCATGTAATCGCTTGTCTCACGATTTGGAGTCGCTATCCAATAAAGACCACGACCTTTCAATGACTAAGATGATAGTCTGTGTCAGCTTATATTGCCACTCTTCGCCTACTCCTTCCCTGTGATCCGGCGCAAAAAAAAGTTCTTCCATGCATCGTAACCTCTGAGAAATCTCTTATCTAGCAATAAAACTTCTTTCTGACAGTTTTAATGGCAATGCTGAGACGCAGAACACAACCTGACGCTAGTCAAAACAAAGAAAACCACAAAAAAAAGGTCCCGAATTTGTTTTCGATATCTTTTGGCTAAAAAGGAACGAGACCAATATCCAGCCAACTTGTAAAACTTGATCTCACGCTGAGTCAAGTACGCATTTATTTTGACATACTTTCTTCTAAATAGCGTTTACATGCTCGCGATGACGCAGATGTCCCTCACTATTTGTAGGATTGTAATCATGAATTTACAATGAACACTTCCGTAGCCAAAGCTACTTCACTCGCATCTTCATATCTTTAGCTGAGTCATATACCTTCGGAGTGACTTGACTATCTCCATGAAGAAGAGCGAACCCGTTTCTATTTTCAACGTGAAATTAGGATTGTATAACTATGATATTAACTGCGCCTACCAAATGACGTTCCACTTATTCAGGACAGTTTAATTCAAAGGTATCCATGTGCTGACAGCTACCCAGTTAAAGTTATTTCATTCATGGAGGCTTGAAACAGAGACGAGTAAATCTTAAGTGCAACATTGAAAACGGCGCAGCATATAAAATATTGAATGGAATGCACTCTGAAAGTGGGAGTGTTGTTGTTTTGTTTTGTTTTGTTTTGTTTTGTTTTTTTTTTTTAACAAAATCGCTTGGGTAATGCATTCATGGAGCCTTTTGAAATTAAATTTAAAAAGTACTAAAAAAAACACTAGAATAATTTGACCAGCCGATAATATCACCCCTTAGCTGATATATTTTCATCCACTGCTTGCTGAACTATGTGTTGATATTGTTAAAAAAAAGTTACAAGTCAGTCAGTTTAAGGGTACAGCAGACTACGAGCACTCCCTGCTTTTCGTCGAGGACCGCCCGGTGTACTTTTCGTGTGCCTCACTCCCAGGTTCTGCACGGCGCGCTAACATCATCAGGTTTTTTTTCACTGATTTGTTTTTTTTTTCCGACTCGCGCGACAATTTCGCCGAAAGAGGACAACTCGTAGTTTCGGGTATCAGTATAGAATGAGTCCATGACACAAATATTGCATTGGATACAAGAAAAGAATAACAATCACCGTTGTGTTAGGCATTGCCGACAAAAGAAAATGAAAAGGTATGTAAGACCGTCATAGAAACACTTACCAGGTCCATGAAGCGTGACTTCCGTTTCTTAATATTAGGCAATTTCTTAGTTGGTGAACTTTCTGGCTGCGCCCACTTTGCAGTTCCTTCCTGTTACGAAGAAGAAAAAACTTTCAAGCCGCTCAAGATTCTATGAAATCTTCCGAGGACAAAAAGTTTAGGAGGTGGTGTATGATAGAATCAGTGGCTTGCCAAACCAAAAGAGCAGGTGAAGACCCAAGAAATTTCTATTACGAAGGTCCAAATATTGACTCAGAATACACACGCCCTCTCCCCCCCAAAGAATGTTGAATTTTGTAAGCTACTAAAAATAAAGTTTTAACCAAAATTGTCAGAGGAGGGAAGGAGATTCTGTGTACACGCCTGAATTGGCCAAAAGTGTGCTTTCAATAACTGCCCCAAGGAGTTTTGATCCCCACTGAAAATCCTAATTAGTAGTAACGTGACCAAAAATAGCCCGAGTTGATGTTCTCTTATGTAGAAAAGAGTAGGGACCAATCAAAATGCATGAACAAAACAGTATATCTGATAACTGAAATTAAAATGTTTTAGCCAATACTGACCTTCATGAGAAGTTCTCTACTACTCTGTTGATTGCTGTCTTCTGAGAAAATGTTTGAGAGTTCGAGAAACAAATTATGAACATCTCTAGAGGAAAACAATACAATAAACAATATTAATACTAAATATGATAAAACATAGCCATGGTAGATAATGTTAACCCATTACACCATAACATCAGTAGGCATATTCTCCATACTGTTCTCTAAACATTTTCTGAGGTGCTCTAAAAGAACAAAGAAGCAAAATTCTTGTTGAAAAACTAACATAGCAGAACAGTATTTAACTAAGTTATCTCCTAAAAAAAAAAGAAACACCTGATATTCTTGTTTGCTTTTGTCTTACAAAGTTCCAAAAGGATATTCAGCTAATTCCCATGGCTGGGAAAAGAAGGATATCATTCCTTTGTCATGATATCAATTTCCCCCCTCCACCTGAATTTAGACCAAATTTCTTTTAAATTCTGAAAATGCCCTCGAAGCAAAGAGGGCTTATTACAATACCTCCACGCAGCCGGCAGAATTGTACCCAATTTGGATTAAGGTCTCTGGTTTATTTTCGTTCGTTTGTACTTGAGACATAGGCCCCCCTGATTACTTGGAAATGAAGGGACTCATGATACATTCTTTCTACATTTCAGAAGGGTTTTGTGGTACTCTGAAGCATTGAGGTTTTACCATTTCTATGTAAGTATACAATAGAGGTTATGTTCATGAGCAAAAAATGTGTTTTATGCAAGGGGAAATAAACTGTATATCTATCATTATTACTTTGGAGGGCATTGAGAAAATGAGAACTAAAAAATGCACAATAATGCCCAACATAACAGGATATGCTTTGTTCTTTTCAGCTCAACAAATTGGTTTCTTAATATTTGGCAGAAAATATAGTTATTACCTAGAAACATGAGACCACGATTTTTTGAGTCTGTGAATTGAAGCTGACTGCAGACCTGACAAGATAGCTTTGAGGGATGAGAAATTCTTCAGATCTCTACACTCCTACAAAACATAATGAAAACAGCTAATCAATCTAACAAATATTGTATCCTTGAAAGCAAGCTTGACAAGCATGAACCCTAATGCACTTTTCAGGTTCTACTTTAATTTGGAAAATTGAGCTGATCTGTTATAATCTGTCAGGGGGCCAACAATCATACCAAAGGAAAAATCTAAGGAAAACACAATATGATATTCCAGAGGATTCAAAGGTGACATTTCAAGTTTTCAAAACCATTTCAAGCAAAGCAGAGTTATAATGGCAAAGTGTTGTCACAAGTGCTAGAACCAATCTTTTGCCTTCAGGAAGCTCTTTAACCAAACTTGCATCTTGTCTTGATAGATTTTTTCCCATCATTTTTTTAGTATGTGTTCGAATAATTGTCCCTTCCTTTTTATCCTGAATTGCCCACACATTGTAATGGTTTTCAGTGGATTAATTTGTTAGTCTTTTTTCCTGCACAGGCTAGTTTTTATTCTGATTTTAAACAATATTTCTTTGATAACTTTTTTTTAACCCCTATTAGATTGTCAACCGAGTAATACAGCACAGGACGATGTAGAAAACCCATCTAGTTCACCTGTGCTACATTTATCCATTGTGAAATGTACTTCCCCCTCATGTTTGGCCCACTTGTTTTGCTTTCAGTGCAAGTTAAAATGGTGGAAATGACACGAAGAGACACAGCATTGAACTGGTCGACCGTGGCCTTCACAGTGGCTGCTCTTCCTTCCTTTTTGTTTTTTCCCCAAACACAACCCAGGCAATGCCATGCTATCACCTTCTTGAACAGTTTCTGTAAGAGGTTTATAACATAAAATAATTAGAAACTGAACATGTGCTAACTGCAGTTATAGTCCATCAAATATTTTTGCTTGTGTATAATTGGTTTGAACACATCACATGACAGAATATTCCCTAGCTAATATATAGATTTAGGCAAGCCTAAAAGCGGAGCTCGCCTTTTTTTCCCTGCACATCTCTTCAACAAAACTGAAGCCTCTACTATGGATAAAGTGCATGGTAATATTAATGGATTTTCATTTACAACTCCCTTCTTCTGTCCGTGTAGAGGACTGATTATAAGATAGTGGGGTAACGCTCTGCAAGCTCCACTATAAAACTGGGGAATATCTGAAAATAAACCCCCTACTGATATCCCCCAATTTCAAACCTTATGTCTACTTCAATAGGTCTTCCTTCAAAATTTAATTCAAGATGAGAGAGCATTTTTTGGTTGCTAGAGAAAAAGGGATACGTTTGAAGGTTCATAAAGTTGTACCAGAGAACACTGAAAAGTGAACATCCTATGCAGCAAACAGTAAGCAGTTCACATCTTTGAACAGATAATGTCTGCAGACAAATATCCATATGTACTTCCCTGCCAAATGGAGGCTATTGTTTATATACCACAAGTTCATAACTAGACCATTTAAGGCAGAGGGTGACTTACGTGGGCTTAGAAAACCTTACAGAAGTATCTTAAATAAGTGGATTTAAAAGACAAGAACCTTTTAGACAAGACAGGGTACATGATCTACTCTTTTTTGTTCATTACATCACACTGCTGAGGTTTTTTGAGGAAAGAATCAGCATTGGGCAGGTATCCTGCCCAAAAGGAGTAAAAATGTTTCTAGTTGCTTCTTAACACAAAAATCAGGATCAACTCTAGCAGCTATGAGAATCAGTTCACACATAGATTCATTCTTAAACCCTTTACATCCTGAGATCATTTTGCATCTTCTCCATACTGTTCTCTATAAATTTCCAAAGGCACTTACAAGGAGAATTTGTTTAACAATCAAGGGGTTCTTAAATTGGTGATCATTTCCTTTGTTCTCATGACCTTAGTGTTTCATTCAGGGGTGATACTTTAAGGAGAAATTAGATACTAGTCACTCCGAGGGCCCAAGGGTTAACTTCCCCTATATCCTACTTATTTGAGTAATTTAGTTTTTTAAATTGAGTTAATAACATAAATTGGCCACTGTACAGAGTTTGCAAGCTTACATTTTGAGCATTAGCTCTTTGTCAGAGTGACTGAAGAAGGGCTAACACTCAAAACGTCAGCTTTGAAACTCTTAAGAATGCCAATTTATGTTATAAGCTCAGTTGATAATACTTAATTAGCCTGTTAGACTCTCCCTCCAACGCAACACCACAGTTTCTTTAGAGACTCATCCACCACCTACTTTAGCCCCTTAGCCCTTTAACCCCTAAGAGTGACTAGCATCTAAATTCTCCTCACAGTATCACCCATGAGACAAACATTAAGGTTATGAGAATAATGGAAATGATCAACAAGAACAGGAGCTCTTGATTGTTTAGCAAAATATCCTTGTCAGCATTTTTAGGAAATGTATAGAGAACAGTAAGGAGAATATGCATACTGATCTTAGGGTGTAGAGGGTTAAGTGAGTTTGGGGAAAAAATGAATTCAAGGTTTTCCTGCAGCAGCCTAATGGTTAGCGAGCTGGACTCTGAACTGGAAGGTCTGGGTTCTAGACCTGGCTCTGTCATTGTGTTATGTTCTTGGGCAAAACACTTCACTTGCACAGTGTCTCTCAGGTACCAGGAGTATAAATAGGTACTGGTAAATTGTTTGGGAAGCTTGATAAAATACTGGAAGTAACCTTGCGATGGACTAGCATCCCATCCAGGGCAGGGAGAGTAGTAATACTCCTCACTGCTTCATGCTAGGGAAACTTGAATATCATAAGCTTCAGCTGGATGGGCACCTTCTCTAATCTCTCAACCTTAGAGAGTTTGTAACATAGGCTATATCAATAAAACTAACCGCATCCATCACTGTTAGCTGCTCGGCACACTCATTGGTTGGTTGGGTCAGAAAATCCAAACAAGACTCAGTCTCTTCTGGAATTGAGCACATGTCATCTTGAAAACCAAACTTTGGTGACACAGGAAGGGGACATGTAATTATCTCAATATCTAAAGCAAAAAGTCAATCAAAAGTTGTTAATTTTGGTATTATATAGGCAGTCACTAAACTTTCATGTGGACCCAGGGAAAATTTAAAGTGAACTGAATGATATCTAATTAATGAATAGAATCCAAGTTGCCATGCATGTGTTCAGTTATCCCTTTAACGCTATGAGTGACCAAGACAGAATTTCTCCTTACAATATCAATACAATATCAAGCAGACAAGTGATGAGAATAAAGAAAAATATCAATTAGAGGACCATAAGTTGATCCAATACCAAATTCTCCAAACTAACATTACAAGACTTGTATGGCAGACAGTAAGGGGAATTACTAAGGAGATCTTGGGAGTTGAAGGGTTCTAGATCACAGATGACTTGGTAGGAACAAAAAGGTGGCACACAAGGCACAGCTGAGTGTGTCCCTTTTGTTTTTACCACAGTTTGATGTCTTTTGTGATCTATCACTGTACAGACCAAAGGCAATATGGAATCTATTTGTTTTACACGATAAAAAATTAAAATGTTGTTAATAGCGTAGTCATCTATGAGTCTGCCTTCCAATAGATGGTAGGCAATATCCAATAAAAATCTGTGAAAAATTAAACTTATTGTCATAATCATGCTTACAAAAATGACCATCATTCATTAATAGCAATAGAATGCTCATTACTATCTTTCTAACAATCTTCAATAAAACAGGTGGAGTGTAACCTTTGTTATCAAATTTTGGTTTTGATTTTCCATACATTTTCACAATTTCCCACATTTCCCACACTCAAACCAATACACAAATATCTAGATTCTCACCTTCATCTTCAAATGGAGTGATCCTAAATTTATCAAGACGTTGTTGTATCTTCTTAGCTAATTCTTCTCCATGACTAGCCCTCATCTCTGATGTCACAAAGCTTTGTATTTTTAGTAGAGTTGTGTAATCTGGCTCATCAAAATCAGAAGGGAAGTGTTCTAGCCATACATGGAACACTGAAGCAATGCCCCTGGGAAAATTGAGTTGAAAACCATTAATTACTGATCTATTAATTATCCACAAGGACTGTTTGGGTTCCCTCTTTAAATCATAATCATTCTTGTTGCTGTTCTCATCATCTGCCTCACTATCATCAGATCATCTCTAAATAAGCATGCTTAGCTACAGGAGAGTGACCCAAGCTTCATATTTAAGATTTGTAAAAACTTTTTGCCATCAAACAAAGCAGATGTAAACTGACAGAACAATATTGATGCTATTGCATCGAGGCAGATACAAATAAAGATAAAAATAGTGATGTGCACATGATGAAACAAACTGATTTACATCAGTGTTTAAGGTTGTGAAAACTTTGTTCTCATAAAATATTTTGAGCACATTTTGGCAATAATGCACAATATTGTAATTTGAGGATGTCTTTTGATTCTTGCATAATATTAATTAAATGATACTTATTCAGTTTTATTTTTGGCTCATTGATATTCACATTTTTTTATTATGCAGCATCTTGATTATCTGGAATATGTAACCCAGTCCCCATGAATCCTGTCACTGTCCCTTTGAGCCATTGAAAAGACTCTGAAGACTTTCATCGTTCATTTGTGCCAGCAAAGAACAATTTTGAATCCTGCAATATAAACACATTTCTGGCAGAAGCTACTGAACAAACATAGGCCATTTACAACTAAACAATTAACTGCCTACCTCAGCACTTTGTCAACTACCTCCTCCTTTTCCTGAGCAGCATTTTCCACAAATAGTCGGTAACTAAAGGAAAAACAAACCAAAATGTTACTGCCATTTTTAATAACACAAACTTTACTAAAAATTTTCCATTTACTTGAAACCTGTGTTTTGGCGTGAGTTCACTAACAATTTATGAGGCTTTTGAAAACAACAGTTATACCGCTTCTTCCACAATACATCTCTCATTATTGTTAGCCCTTTAACCCCTTGGAGTGACTGGCATCTAATTTCTCCTTACAGTATCAGCCCTGAATCAAACATTAAGGTCAAACAAATTCTCCTTTTCAGACCCTTAAGAAATGTATGGAGAACAGTATGGAGAATATGCATACTGATGTTAGGGTGTAAAGGGATAAAGTCACAATGAATGATGATATTTAAACAACTCTTCCTAACCATTTTTATAAGCACTTAATAAATTATTTTTAGCCCAGAGCTAGAAGACTTATTTTCCACACTGTATTCAAGAGAAAATTATTCAAGAGAAATTATCGATAAAGGAAAATGAAGTACAAGGTATTCTTTCATTATTGTTAAAATATGGTAATATGGAAGTCCTCTTTCATTTCTTCAACTTCCTCTTTGCCAGACAGCCTCCGTGTTTGTTTACACGACAAAAACCCTGGCAGATCACTTTTCAACTTCCTTGACAACACAACCCTGCATTTAAGGAACAGTGTTCTCTTGACTCTGCTTAACAATTTCTTCCTCTTTGCACATATCACACACGGATGTTATGTTTATTTACAGAAGTAAACCTTACAGATCAAATTTCAACTTCCTTTGACATTACAACCCTCCATCACAAGAGACAGTGTTCTCTTTCATAGCCTGGCTGGACTCAGCTGAACAACAACGTCCTCATCATACAGGTCACTCACAGTTGCCGTGTTTATTTTCACAGAAAAAAAACCTTGCAGACCATATTTCAACTTCTGTAAAATCATAACCCTCCATCACAAGCAAGAGTGTTTTTGTTATGGCCTGTTTAGAACCCTTTCTCTCTTTTTTAAAGATGCAAAGTTGCCAAACACAACCTTGTGATGATCACATATTGACATTTTAAGTAGTTGGTCAAAGTATTTTAACACCACTTCCTTTACTTTTTGCATATGATTTTGCAGTGTTGAAAAACTGTTCCTGTGATGTGACAGTATAAACTAATAGTTAGGTTTAATTGTTGTCACACCACTGACCAAATACGTATTCCTAAGCTTGCCTTTTAACAATGATTACACTTTACCCATATGATTAGTCAAGCACGATTGCTGTTTATGTTTCGAAGAGTAAATGATGCGACAAAGTATGCCATTTCTGACCTCAAGAGTACATAAAACAATTATTTTGAGTCCCTTAACGGTTATGATGGGTTCTTGGGCTTCAAACGATAGCTAGTTCATAAAGGGAACGAAGTGTCCGGAATAAGTATTAATAATAACTTTCTTGAATAACTTCAGAAAGAGATAGTTCATTCACGTGTAGAAAACAAAAGATAAACACCTGTCTTTCGGGAGTACCAAAATAATATTTAGATTGTTCCCTTTCAATGCCAGAAATTTATCATGCAACACCAAACTCGAAAAGAATCTTACCGCTCGAAAAGTAGATCCACGATTTCCGTCATTGTTGAAAAAGTTCTATACGTAGTCATGAACGCCATAATGTAGCCAGGATCAACCTCGTCAAATGAAGCAATTGGGGGTGCTAAATGTTCCACAAGCTTCGTTAAAGAACCGGCTTTAATGGTTCTGATCTTCATCATCTCCCACTGAAGATGAGAGACTGGTTGTTCGTCTTCGTCAGGAGAAGGAAGAAACTTATCGCTCGAGCGGTATCTCACTTTCTTCAGTGATACCGAATAAATGGCTTCGTCTTCACGTTCTTCCCTCCAGAAGACTCTCTAAACACAATTACAGCATCACGAACTTAGTGTCACTCGAAATATAACAGTTTACGGATATGATATGATTGCGAACTTTTTCAGAAGTGACTGTATCTACACTGGCCTTCGTGTAATTTCAGAAGTCGACATCAAGGCCAACATGCTCTAGTGTAAAATATTTTCGAAGAATTTCCGGCAGGAAATTTCTATTGTAAATTTCTTATCACTTCACCAGTTCTTTTATTCTACGCCATGGAAACCATCTTTGACATCAATATTATCAAATCTGCGACAACTTTATTTGAGTCATTAAATCAGGGAATAACTTACTCAGCGTATTACACAAAAAATCACGTACGCATTGTACTTGTCACGACCGACAAAGCGAGAAAAACCCGAACCACACGATGGACAAAAGCGTGAGAAGACTCTGTTAAAGAATTTTGATCAAACTTTTATCAAAATAGCAACTTGCGGTAATATAGAGGAAGGTGTGCATGAAAATCAAGTCAATATCACCGCGAAATGCGTGCAATCGTCAGTAGTCAAATTGTTCATGGCAACTTACCTGACCAGGAGTTTGCGAGCCGGGTAAATCTTGCGCGGGCATCATCTCCAATTTTCAGACGCCCGAATAGTGCGTCTCGTTAACTTTCGATGGAGAGAATACGCACGATTCTCATTCTTGAGTTTTGGGCTGAAGTCTCGTCTTGCTGAGATCAAATATTCGGCTGTAACCGCTGTGTGCCTGCATATTGACAACACTCAAACCGACCCCCCATGAGATAGCAGGTTATACTATACCTACCGGAAGTCAAAAGTCAACGAGCGCGAGACAAAAGTGATAAATTCAGCAACGGAAATGGAACAAGACCAAAATAAACAATCTTAATAACTCATTGTTCCGACTAAAATCTCCTCGAAAAAAGCCGATTGAATGTTATTACTGCCTAGGATCTTTGGAACTTTTCATTAACTTTTTGCGTGACTAACCATGCTGCGATTGACGTCATAAAATTATTGTAAAAAAAAAAAGAAAAAAAATTATAACAGCTTATTTCATAACTTTTGTACTGCTTAAAGGAATATTTATAACATCGCACGTAGGCAAGCCTTTTGACTCAAAAATTCCGATTCTTTGAGTAGCTTGAATCAAAGGGTCAACGGCTTGAAACTTTCTCTGAAATATTTCCACGCTCTACTTCTATGAACAAATGTGTTGCACAACTTGTATCGCACTATTATTGGCAGGAGTTCAGTAGGTTCCTGTTAACAGTTTGTGCAATTCAGCGCGAAAAAATTTCCTTCTCTGTTCTAAACTCGAACAAGATTCCCATTTTTATTAAACGAATTGAGTCGCTTCAAGTTTTCCTGGGCTTTTATGAAATCCAATTCAAAAATATACAAAAAAAATACAAATAGATGTAAAATAGGGAAACAAGCGTTCTTTTAATAGTGAACATGAAAGAATAAGCAACGAAAATGACATTTTTTAGAGACACTCTCCTCCATTTTTATTCTCACAGTAATTTTCACCGATATCAGTGATAAAATCATTACAATTGATACTTAAACAACGAGTTTAAGTACCAATCATCGATGTTTTATCGGGTAACAGTAATCGAGTGGAGCATTTTTAAAATTCTTTACATAACAGTCACAAATATATCTGACCGAATATATATTCCTTGCAGCTATGTTGAGCCAAATTCTTAGTCGTGAATTTTTTTTCCTCCTTGTAGGTAAAATGAAAAGGAAAGGAAACCATAAGATACTCATAGGCAATTTTTAACTTCTTACCATTGTGATTTGGCAGCCTAACAGAAAAATTCTTTTTTTCACTATAAAAGGCCCTCTATTCGATAAGTTTTGTTACGTAAGCATCAATTTTCTGCCACTGTCCCTATTACCATCAAAACTAAAAATAAATCTGTGTGCACAGAAAGGAACGATTCTACAGGATGAATCGCAACAAAAGATACTTTCATTTGCTTTATTGATTTACTATGAAATCAATGGACTTCCTTGCAATCTGATTGGCCCTCAGCTGTGCGATGTATTCCTGCGTCGCCCTTTTTTTTTAAACTATCATCTTTTCCCCGACCAACGAAAAAGCAACACTAGAACAAAACAATCAGGCTTTCTTAAGAAACCAATCAAACTGCAATAAAATGAAAGACAGATAAGCCGCTGTGCGACAAATTTTGCAAGTTTCTTCTCAAAATTATTTTTTTTATTATGGGTTTTCAGAAATTTATCGACTTTCCTTTTTCCCCGGGAGGGAGAGAGGGGTGTATCTGTTAACTTTTGAGAGTGGGGAATTTAATCTTGAGAGGCTTTTGGGAATAGCAGAGTGAAATTGTTTATGCCTCATGTGTCAAATAATGGAGAGCAGAAAACTTATTGCTAGTTATATTAGGTTACAAATATCACTTCAGATGTCAAACAGATACGTCTTGTGTCAAGTCCGTTTCAGATTTTATTTCGACTAAAACCCGAATTAGGAACACTATTTATAACTTGCATACGATAGATTCGTAACTTTAACTATCTTACATATGAAAGAAAATACATCCTTTGTCAAATAAAGCCGATTCTAAATTTGGGATCTAAATTTCTGCCAGGTATAACATAAAATGTGGAAGAACGCTGAAATTTAAGGAATTTTCCTAGACTGACCTTTCATCTCAGGAGATAGTCTTGTGAGGGTTAGCTAAACAGACTGAAGCTATCGTACTTAACAACTCAACAAAATTTTTCCCAATAAGCAATCATGAGGAACTAATAAATAATCTTGGTGCGGTCACTTCGCTTGTTAAAGCAAGCAGAAGGAATATTGAAGTAACAGTCCAATAATTATAAACGACCAAACGCACAGGAATCCTAAAATGCGTTCAGACACGTTAGAAATGTAGTATTAATTCCGCCTAATTTATTATAGTAGGATTTGCGCGGTCATCCGTCCTTCAAAAATATTGACCCCAAAAAAGTTACCATGCGGAAAATGATCTCTTTGCAAGAAAGAGAAAGGTCAAAATAGGATGTAAGCACATTGTCTGAGAAATTGGTTCCGAAGTCGTTCCTGAATTTGCAATGACAGAAGGTATAATATTTTACCCGATTCAAGGGTCTGTGGTGTTTCCAAGCTTAAAATGATATTGGCTCTAGCTGAAAAAACACTTGGCTTTCGATCAAAATGCGTGCGTCAGCCAGCGGCTTATTAAGGCCCTGGTATAAATGTCCTATTTAGTTTAACAGTTCATGTAGTTAATTTTAGCATCTGCTTCAAGGAGGGGCCATTGTCTCCTGGTAAGAGCTCAGAAATCACTGCTTTTGCTAACGCAAAAATGAGAAAAACCGTCATGATAAGACACAATTCATCAAAAACGATGGGACCTTACTCGTCTTAGCCTGTAGATTCGCAGCTGTGTCGAAATGCTAGGATATGGCGAATTCCTAAAAAGGGCATACTCAAGTGCTCTTAACTTCTATGTCAACTACTGCTCCTCTGTCAAGTATCTAACTTTCTCGCCAAAACTGGTCTCGTGAAGTGTAATGCTGCAACTGCGTTTGCGCATCTTCAAATATGTTTAAACCCAGCGGAGGCGCTGACCAGCATTGAGTGGGAAACTGCGGTTGCAACTCTTCTGTGGGGATATCATTTGGCGCGAAAGACAGACTTTCGCGCAAGTGGAAGGTCCGATTGAGTTCCACTTTAAAACTTGAGTTGGTAGATGGAACCGAGGAAATCTGCGTCGGGATCAAATCGTCTCGTTCCCAAGGAAATGGTAAGTCGTTCTGGAAAGGAATGTTTCTTGTCGTATACGGTTCCTCAGGCCAATCGTGTGACAGGGGTGGAGGTGGTGGGTGTACCGAGGCGGCGGTCAGGGCCGGTTGATCTTGACTGTTGAGGAAATTCATAAGAGGAGTCTGGTAACGGATTATGGGTGGTGGAGATGGAAAACGCAGGCGTCTTTTCTTGGATTTAGATCCTGTGCTGTCTCGTTGGCTCGACCTGAAAGAACATTCAACAAAATGAGTCAATAAAAAAGAACCGATATGTTGAATGCTACTGCAAGTAGGAACGCTGAAGAGTGCGACAAAATAATGTCATTATTATAATCATCATTGTTTATGGATTTTATTTTTTATATATTAGGATTATTATCTTTAAATAAATTACGAATCACGCACGCTCTAATAAGATTCTGGGGCCAAAGGAGTTCCAAGGCATTTGGAGAAGCGGACCTTACCGGGAACTCGTTGCAAGTCAAAATGCATCTAACCCTTATTTTCTTTTTTTTTTCTATCGCCCTGATCCGATAAATTCAGTATACAAATTGCATTTGTTTGATTGAACTTACCTCTTTCCTTCTCTGAAAGCCTTGGCGAATGGATTGTTGTCGATCTTGAGTTGAGTCATGCGCGGGTTCTGATAACTAGTAACAGTGATAAACTGAGTCTCAGGAAAGTTGAATACCCATCGGTCACATTGATGCATTCCCAGTTTAGTGACAATCAGTCTTAGTCTGTACTTCTGCATAGAGTTTACGACCACCTACAAAAAGGATGCATTGAATTAAGTTTTGTTTTTTACAAAAACACGTACAGGAATAGTTTTCCTGCCACCGCATCTATGTCTCCGAAATGTCTGTTCAGTACAACTCTGACAAGAGGACGAGAAAGATAACTTCGCACAGGGAATCCCGATTAAAAATCAAAGGAAAAGATGCAATGTAACGAACAGAGTTTCATGCAAAGGGAAAGTTTGTCTGGTCTATTAGGAAATGTAAATGTGGAAAAGGTGCGCACGCGCAGAAATGCGCACGGGTTGAATTTTATCGTTCTGACGGGTTTTTTTTTTTAGACGAAAAGAAAACAGAAAAAAGGAAAGATCAAGCCTATGAGCAAGAAATATTTTTCACAAATTTAAACCATCTGTCAGCAGGAAATGAAACAGAGAGACCGAAACCTCCTTAAAGTCTTAAGAGTGATAAGATTCGACACTTTAAATCTTAGTTGATTTGTGAAAATGCTCAAAATGTAGTACTTAAAACTGTTCTTTAATGGTAAAACTAGAGCATGCTTCATGTCATGTGTCGATTGATTCGGAGCTTCAACTATCCTTCCCCGGGAAACCTCTCCCCACAACTCCCCAGGTATATAAACTTTCCTTTAAAATTTCCACCCACTGTCCTAAATTTGTGCTCAAATGCCTAACTCAAGATTAAGATTTCATGGTCAAATTTTTGTAAAGGGCAAGATCAGCGACTGTAAATTTCTTACAGTCCTTTTCTACTGAGTCATTAGCTCGCATAAGTAAAGTCTACCTTTAAACACTTCCATATTAAAATATAAAACATGTGCATTCCGCTGAAAAGACTCGACGGTTCCGGTTTAAATCCCCCACCAAACCCAAGCAAGACTCGAATTTCCATCCCCCCCCGGCACGGACGACAGTCAAACGCCCCTGGGTTGGCAAGGAAGGGGATTTTGAAGCTCCTAATATTGATTTATGTATAAATTTTTAGTAATATAAAACACTCACACTGTCACTGCTGGGTATAATGTGATTGGAAAGCTTCAATTTGTCAAACAAGGCTCCTTGTGCCATCCAGTACTGTCCAAGGCTGGCCGAGTTGGGGTGAAGGTACTTGCAGTGCACTTGATCCAGTTGCATTCCTTTCCCCGTCGGAACCCACCCTTGGGGTGTCTTATAACGATACCGGTTCATATCTGCAGCGACAATTTCAACTGCGCAGCCGTAGTATTGGTCAGGCTCGAGTCCTCCGAGGAAGAAGTCTGGGACGGGAAACATGCGTCTAGAATGTAAAGCGTGAAGGTATTTATTATTACAAAGTGGAATGGTATAAGCAAGAGTCTTCTTCACTACGCGCGCGCACCGAGCTCTCCCCAATCTAGACACACCTACTTCTGTCGTTACAACCCTTTCCATCCTAACATCAGTATGCACATTCTCCTTAGTATTCTCTAGACATTTCCTAAGGTGCAGGCATGGAGAATTTGTTTATCAATCAAGAGTTTCTTCTGTTTATGATTACTTCCTTTGATTTGTGATCCAGAGGTGTTTTAAATTGTAAGGAGAAATTAGATGCTAATCAATCTTAGGGGCCCAAAGGTCAATAACGAAGGAAAAAAAAATTAAGTAGTCAACATCCTCTCAGTGACCACAGAATCTTTACCAAACAGGCAAAAGTCAGCGCAAACAATGAATAATAATGAAAATTAAGTTGTCAACATCCTCTCAGTGACCACAGAATCTTTCCCAAACAGGCAAACGTCGGCGCAAACAATGAATATAAATAGGCCAAATTTCCCTCTGAGCGAAAAGTGAACGAATTTTACCAGTATTAAATTGTCTCATAACCAAAATAATTGATTCCATTTACAAGTTAACTTTCTGTATTCCGCTCTCCCGCATAAAAAGAGAATATAAAATTCAGTGTCCACTCACTCCAGACAAGACAAGCTAAACCATTTGAAGCAAATAAAACTGTAGTACTACGTCGGTAGGGGAGGGGGGTCTTGCAAGATTCTTTACTTTTACCTACTGAGTCTATAATGTAAATTTACCACCGCGGAGGGTTTTAAAGCTGACATTTCGAGCGTTAACCCTTGGTCCAACACACAAAACGTTAGCTTAAAACTATTAAATACCTTACAAAAACTAATGCGCACGCAAAAACGTTAATCTTTTGCGATACTTTTTATGGGAATGAAAAAACTGTTTGGGCGATTGAATACCAAATCAAGGTGCATTCGAGACAAATATAACGCTCTTAATCAACTTTTCTACAACCGAACAAAAAAGCCGGACACTTCTTCCTTGAAGTTTTGTTTACAGAAATTTCACATGCAAGACGGGCTGTTTGAACGTTGTTTTTCTTCTTAAAACCATTATGTGGTCATTCCCAAAGGAGTCTTGTTGAGACTAATTTCAAAATGAACTCTAAACACGTTGAAAAGTTTGCATAAAGCTTCATGAGATAAAAAAAATTTTAAGATTTGACCATAAATCTTGTTATAACTTCATGAGCATTTAATAATTTGGGTCAGTTTTTTGGGAAACGTATTTCAGCAATTATGAGAAGGGCAACATGCATGCATTATTGCTTTTGGTTCCGGTAATGGAAAGGAACGAAAATTGTTTTTCTATTCCCGTGGATAAAAGAGAAGCTATGATTAGATGGACATTTTTTTTTATCGTGAAGCATGAAGCATGAAAATACGATGGCTAATGAGTAACCATGTTCGAAAATGTTGGCTTGCACGAGCCAATATGAAAATCAAGATGCATGGTGCGCGCAGACAAGCTTTTTTCTGAGCCCTCTCACAGATTACCATGCACACAAACAAACAAACAAGAGATTCACTTTTTTGCCTTTAAAACGGAAAAAAAATTGAAGTAAAACGTACCTTCCAGCTTTAGTTATAATCATTTCCGTCTCCTCGAGATGAAACATCTCCCAGAGTTCCTTATTTCGAAGACGCACGGTGATGGTGCTGTGTTCTCCTTCCATCTTTGTTCTCTTAGCTGTATGAATTTTACCCCTCGAGCCCTGAAAGAGTCTCTTGGTTTTCGAATTTCGATCTTGCGCATCTGTGTTTAGTTGTAAAGTCCTGACCCGCGTAGAATGCATTTCAACTCTTTCAGCGCACGTGTCTATGGGGAGCGTGGAAATCGGCGTATTTGTTTTGTCTCGTTGATCAGGAGACTTCGAGCTCAACTCATGCGCCATTTTTTGATTGTTTTTTGATGCGAAAAATAATCAGTGCAGAAGTTTCTCCACAATTCCGATTAAATTTAGCTCCAGTCGTTAGAGACTTGCCTGAGTTTCCGATATGAAGTGTGCCCCGCTGAGGGCTTCACGAGTTTAAGTAGCCTAACTTAAACAATCAGATGTTTTAGCTGAAATTGGTTTTTATCTGAACGCAACCATTACAAAAGAAATCATCACACTTTGGGTCGAAGTAATTAGTTAATTTTGCAACTCTATTGTAATGATAGCTTCCTTAGAGCTGCGAAGTTTCTTTTGTGTTTTTCACCTCTATGTTTTCTTTGTCATTCCACTTTAAAAAGCTTATTTGAAATGATTATTAACCGCCCACATATACATCGACAAATTCTTTAGCAAATGACTACTTTGGAAACTTATACATTGTTTTGTTTTTAACTTGAAAATTGTAATATTGCCTTTGCTAACTAAGGTAAAACATTTCAGGCGATTCCTTGACACTGCGAATGAACGCAAACGCGACTGTTGGCTGAAAATCATCAATCTCCATTTTAAATCAATTGCAAACGATTTAAAATGGAGATTGATGACTTACAGCCAGCGGTCTCGCGTTACGTAAATCAGTCTGATCAGCACAGGTTCCATCAACCGTGCCGAGTTTTGAGCCATTCTTCTTTCACAGTTAGAAATTATAAGATAAAAACTTCTGGGCACGTGAATTCGGACCTCGCCTCGCCTTATACGTAGTTAACTTAAAGCTTTGATATAAACATGTTACACGGAGACACGAGACTGACCGTGAATCGGCAAGCAAGTCTGGGCAAATCTCTGGGCGGAACAAAGATAAAACTTATTTTTATTTAATTTCACTTTTCTCTAGAAATGAACATTGATCTTTATGCAACTGTCACTCACCACATTTTGACCGCTGAAGAAAATTTGCCTCGAAAATGACTTGGATCGCGTTCATTCATTTTTCATTAGTTTTTTCACCTTTTTTTGATACACGTTCAAGAGTAGTTAGCTGCTTGCAAAGCTATTTGCGTAACATTCAAATATGTTGGGCGGAAGTAGAACTCTGAAACACAACGAAAAGCTTTTGTCACCTTTGTCAAGTGCGAGAAGTGGCAAGAAGTTCTCAGCTCCACCCATGGGAAATACCTGAAACACCGCCTAATTTTTAGACACTTTTGTCACTCTCTATTCATGTTAAGAGGTTTTGAAATTAAATTGAATGTCAACTAATTTTCCTGTTTCAACCAATGTTAATTGTTTTCTGTTTTCTGACAAGGTCTACGTTCTCAATAGAAAAGATTGCAAATGATTTATTGCCCAGTCGATCTGTCCTGATGTGGAAAGCAAGTCTCTTTCTGATATTGATGAATCAAACACACACCCGCTCGCTCAAACAAAAGACGTAAAACAAAATCTTTATTTTCAAAACGGAATTTCGGAAGATGTCATATACTGCTGATGGTCCTCCTTTTTCTCTTTGTTGGTGAATCGAGTGGAAAAAAATAGCGAGCGAAGTCTGGTGTTACATGGAGCGGCCAGTTTTCCGTACAACAGTCGGAGAGCCCGAAGAAAATCGTGGCGAAAGGAACTTGTGGGTTCGGGCGTAATTCGCACATATACCGTATGGGGAGGTCTTGTGAAGTGTCGTTTGCGAAAAGCCCAAATGTAAGACCATTTTTTGATAATTTTGTCCCTGGTAAAATCACATAGTGGAGGAGTGTAATTAACCTTCGCCCATCCAGCCCCTTGTGACCTCCACAAATTGAGGGGAGGGGTAAACAAGTCACTAAAAGAAATCATTACACTCTTTGTTTACTGTGAGACGATGAAAAACTTTGTTGCAGGCTACGTTCGCTAGATGTTTCTGGTGTATCTATTAGTTAATGGTATGAAAAGGACGCCGGTGCTACTTCACAATTTTACGCAAACCAGTTTATGCATTACTTTGTATTCTAAAGTTTTCAGGTTTTTTTAGTGAAACACCCTCGGGGAGCATTGTTTTCACAGTTTTAAATCTCAACGAGAGTATTCATGAGTCAATAAGGGAAAAAAAGCTTATCACTTGTATGTGCATCTTATGAGATTCAACGTGATCCGCCCGAGAGAGGACTAAACCTAAATTAAATTTTTGGAAATACTACTTTCGATTAAAAAAATCTTATCTTCGACGATATGACTGTCAAAATCAGCGTTTGATAAAGAACAAGAACACCTTTTTCGGGCACTTGATACCCCCTGAGGCTCCGTAATATTCCAATGATCCCCCTTCTTGGCAGTCATTTTTCTACAATCCCCCTTTATAGTCTGTAAGCTACAACTGATCCACCTCTCCCCTCTTTGTGGTGCCCCTTAAGAAAATCCTCTGCAGCCCCCTGCTCTCCTGGCCAAAAAAAAAAAAGGCCTGGTCCCTTACATCAAATAAATACAAATAGTAGATTTTAGCAAGTCTCTTTCTTCTCTTATACTTTAGCTGCGGCCTTCGTCAGGAACTGCTGATACTGCTGCTGTAACTTGCTTAGTGTCTCCTGGCTGGCACCTCGCTTCTTTTCAACATCTTTGATACCAGTCTCATTTCTTTTTCTGAAAACACCAATAAGAAGTCTTTGAGTTATGGACAAGGGATGGAAGATTTTGAGCCAACCAATGGAGTAACCAATATATATTTGCACAAGTCTACCACCCCATTCTTGTCATCACTCTACAGCACATCACCAGACTACTGCACATCACCAGACTACCACACAATGCTTAACAATCTAAACATTTTGTTGCAAGAAGTTCACTTGTGTGTTTCCCTTGTAAGTCTCCCTGGCCCAAATCCTTTACATATAGGGCTTGCATGATGTAGCTATGAACTGTTACTTTTGCAGGGATGTGTTCCAGGGACATGAAGATTCAAGAAGCGAAAACCAGTTTCAAAATTAGTTGAAAAATTTTGCTTTGTACAATCTTTCATGCCATAATTTGAAAAGAACAAGAATACCTGTGACAAAAAAGGAGACAGCCTTCCTATTCAATATATTTTTAATATTTTTGTGCTGGCAAAGAAAATTTCAAGGACATAAGGGTGAGGCTGAGACAAAAGAGATGCCATATTACTGTAAACCCACTAATTATTTATCTTAAGAACACCAAGATGTCTGATAGTTGTCTGATAGTAAAGCAATGGTGCTTACAGTTCAGTTGTGATGTACTCTATCCTCTTCCCAACATTTTGCTTGGCTTCTTCAAGATCTTGTTTGACCAGAACAGGTCCTATGAGTTTGTAGACATTTCCATCAGGTTCAATTATGTCTAGTTCCTAAAAACACAGTAACAAAGTCAGTTTAAACTCAAATATCACACCCCATCAATTATAATTCATCAAGATGTCTCTAGAAACTATTCTAAATCAACACCATCCAAGACACGTCAACAATTTTTAACACTCAGTGTTCATCATTACAACAGGTTAACTCAAGCATTCACATATTGTAATACAACTCCAACATTAGTGTTAACCCTTTAACTCCCAGAAGTGATGAACATGTAACTTCTCCCTTTAATATCCTCACCTCATCCAACAAACAGGTCATAAGAAAACTCAAACTTATCAGTTCGAAGTTGTTATCTTAATCTAACACCTAATTCTCCATACTAATTTACAAAGAAATGTGTAGCAGCTAGAGAGGAGAATCAACAATTAGATCTTGGAAGTTAAAGGGTTAACTCCCATGAGTGACCAATAAGCCAATTATTAGTTGATCCAGTAACAAATTCTCTGAACTAACACCTTAATTTTTTTTGCAGACAGTAAGGAGAATTACTAATGAAATCATGGGAGTGAAAGGGTTAAGATTCTTTTTCAGCTGGAAGGTTATGCATCAACTAAGTTCCACCAGCTATGAGAACTCTTACTCCACTAATCTCAGCTTACTGAGCATACCCTGTAGCATGAACATTTTGCAATAGTTTTATTTTGTGGATTGGTGATATTTGGAGTTGTACAGGAACAATTTATTTGCAACTCAAGATGATGAAAAATAGGCTCAATTTCTACAATTTTTTTTTGTCTCATCTTCTATCATCTCAAGTGGGGTGAGCCAGCAAGCTTATTTCTCACACAGTGGCTAGTAATAGAGCCTATGCCAAGAACTAACTGTTGTAATTTCCAGTTCAAGCAGCAGAACATTCACAAGAAACAAATGCAACATTTCAAACATTTTCAGTTTGATAATTTAGAGAGAGGAGAGCAGGACAATCAGTAACATCTAGAAAGAGCAAAATCATGAAAAAATCCTATGTTTCACAGAATTTATTTCCCAACATCAGAATTTCCAGATAGAAGGGCACCAAACATGGAAAGAAAAAAATGGCAGAAAGTTCAGGTAAATTAGGTAAATCTATCAGTAAAAAAATAAATCATTAAAGTAGGTTTCACCTCTTTTACAACTTTATTTTCATTCAGCTGACCATCTAATTGCTGTCTTGTGTTGATTAATTTCTGCAAATCTGAAAGAAATAATTACTGGATGAATAATGGTTTGAAGAGGAGCAAGCATGCTTGAAGAGCTTTTGGGTCAAAACAGTGCAAGAGGCAATCTGAAACTCTCTACCCATATTAAATGGTTTAAGGTGGTTTTGCTTCCCTGCAAGTCCACCCCCTACCAGTTTAGCTCCATCACAACTAATTTTCCTCCTCAAAGTTCACCCTATTTCCTTAAAGAAGAAAGTGTCCCCTCATTAGAAAAGGAGAATAATGACAATCCACAGCGAAGATCCACACACCTACTTTCACCCTTTGACCCTTGAGTGTGATTAGTATCTAATTTCTCCTTACAATATCACCCCTGAATATGGTCACAAGAATAAAGGAAATGATTAACTACTACAGAAGTTCTTAAAAGTCTAACAAAATTCTGCTTGCCAGCACCTATGGAGATGGTACAGAGAACAGTATAGAGAATATGCATACTGGTGTAAGGGTGTAAAGGCAAAAACAGATGGGTGGTAAAAATGTTTTGCTTGTTTGTTCTTCAGTACAACGACTTGTTTTTCATTTGGGGTGTCTCCACCTTCCACAAGAAATCAAGGAAGCAGTATGCAACTTCCAAGCCTTCTTTCATTACTTGTATACAATCCATGTACCCTGAGCCTGCTCAGAAATAGATCACAGATGATGTCAAATGCGTTGAGAACAAAAAAGTGGAACACGAGGCATAGCCGCGTGGATAACTTGTGTCCTTGCCACATTTTGACATCTTTTGTAATCTACTACTGTACAGACCCACGGTAACATAGAATCTATTTTTTTCTATACACTAAAAAAAAAAAAAAAGAAAAACTTTTTTAAGGTGGCATCATACATGCGACTGTTCTCCAATATATCATTGGCAAAAACCGGTAAAATGCATGCATAATTCGGCTTACCATGTAAATTCGAAACCCACTTTTCCTTGACAAGGCATGGGATCACAGACTATTTATTTTCAAATAAAAGAGCACTCAAAATTTTCAGGAGTATTACTACTCATAACGTACCTTTCTGAACAGCCTTGAACTTCTCAAGTTCCGTTTGCATTTGTTGCTGTATTCTCTCTAAGTTAGCCGCCATCTTGAATTTTTGCACAATACGAAAAAGTATTGCAGGCGCACAGTGTATTTTGGATAAAGGACTGGGGATTGTCCAAATGGTTATGTAACGCCTGACGGAAATTGCCATTGGGAAAGCAATAAGGCGTTCGGTGAGATATTAGGCTAATTGGAATTGGCATATTTTTGAGAACAGATATTCTAACAATTTTTTTTTCGTTTGTAAGTGCTTTTTAAGAAAACATCTTTTGTAGAAGTCTTTTAATTTTGGGAAGATTTTTTCAATCAGCCACCGTTTTCAACACTCTCTAGACATGGTGTTTGTAAAAGTTGCCCACAGATATAGTCAGGCCATGTTTTCATTTGGAAGGAACAAAGGTATTGAAGTATACTAATGACTTGCGTTTAAGCGACATTCTTCTTCGAAATCGTGATCCTCAATGCTAAGATATTCGTAGAAAAAAATTTCCTTGTCTGGCTCTGTTTTAATATGACAAAAATGTTGTGATATGGTTGACAGGCGATATTCTTCCATATCATTCACTGAGATGTAGCTCTCATGATTTTTAGTGCAATCCAGAGATGTAGAGACTACAAACTGGAGGTTATCTTGGTGTACATAGAATTTAGAAACTAGGAGTGTTCTATTCCATCATGAATGGGATGCCAATCCATCACACATTTTCGGTTTTCATTTCATCATTTTATACTTGAAATTTTCAATTGACCTAGGTATGGTTTGGGTTGATCTCAAAACTGGATCATCACATTCAGATTCAAGCATGCTGATTGTTAGGTCATTTCATCTCAGACTTAAAGAGAAGATACCAGGAAAAGTGATTTATTTGTTTTGATTTGATTTGTTTTGATTTGTTTTGTTTCATTTTGTTTTGCTTTGCTTTTTTCCAATAGTGGTTCATCACCTCCTTAAGTCCTGTGGAATGTCAACAGCTAATCCTGCTGCTCAGGAATCCAAAATGCATTACTTGTTGCTGATAATTCCAATATCAACATTTGGCCTGGGAACATGGCAGGTCAAGAGATTGCAATGGAAGAAAGGATTGATCAAGGATCTTGAGTCCAGGACAACTGAACCAGTTCGAGATCTTCCAGAAAAGTAATTTTTTATTTTAAATTTTTGTTTTCTCTTTAGATGAAAAATGATCATAAATTGTTGGAGAAATATTTTTCTCAATTTTTTTTGTATAGTTAAGAAAGTAATCAAGATCATTATTTGTACAGTATTGATGAACTTAGATCAAAATTTCTGGAATATCGACGAGTCCTGGTGCAAGGAACATTTGATCATGCAGAGGAAATCCATTTGGCACCAAGGTCACTCAATGAAGGTGCACATGGAGGAGGGAGTCTCGGAAGAAAGCCAAAATCTGGTGCTCAAATCATCACACCATTTGAAATCTCTGGAACAGGGTAAGGTGGAAATATTTGACCTTGAAACCTTCCAGACCCACATCAAAGTGTCTTCATAAGTTTTAGAAATATTTACCACAAACACCGGTGTATAAGCGGCACTGGCAGATAAGCTGCACCTCTAGTCTAATTTTGTTAGATATGACAAGTGCACTATATCATTGTAGCTTGATTTTTGTGTACTGTGTAATTTTGTAATGGTAAATTCTGAGACATCCCAATTTTTCCACTTTTTTCTAGGCAAAGAATCTTGGTCAATAGGGGTTGGGTGCCTATGGACAAAATCAGACCTGAAAAAAGACAAGAAGGACAGGTCTCTGTTACAAAATTCAACATTAATGTAATCCCTTTTGTCCTGAGTCATGGTTTTTTATGCTGATCTAGAATCCTCCATAGTTGATAATAAACTCTTTCATTCTAAGTTAACTTATTTTACTGTACTGTCATCACAAACATTGAAAACTTGTAGGAATTTCAAATTTTTAAGCAATAATGTTTGTTCCTTGTGAGGCAATTAAATGCAACATTTTCTGCATAATTCTGCCTCTAATCTGATATCAAAATTGATTTTGTAAGGTTGAAGTCCAGTTTAAAATAACTAAATTGTTGAAGAGAAAAATTAAACTGTTTGAGGGAGAGGGTACTCTAAAATATTATCAATGCTCTAAAATTTACAGCTTCTCATCTCATTACTGCCTAAAGTTTCTTGGAATTCATGAAAATTAAACAATAAAAGATGTGCACAAATAGAACTATTTTAAAAAGGGGTCTAACAGTAAAGAGATATGATCTATTTAGAAGAAAGAGGTATAAACATTCTTTACACATGTCAATGTCCAACATTCTTAATTTTTATTTGTAGATTGAGGGTGAGACGTCTTTGGTTTGCTTCATCAGACAAGGAGAGAAGGTTTCTGTCATTATGTTCTGTTTTCTTAGGCTTTGTGTTGAGGTCGTCATGAGATGATTGTTTGATCATAGATAAAAAAAAAATGGATTAGGTGTAGGAGAGAGATCTCCATATGTATTCTTCTGAAAATTAAGAAGGAACAGGTGGAGGGCAAACCTTGTTTCCTCCAAAAGTGATCAAAATGCATGTCTCTTTACACCATTGACAGGTTGTCAAGTAAGTAGATGATGAGAAGTAAGAAAATTTTCAATTGGAGGATATTGAATCTGGGAATACAAAGTGTGATATAATTTAGAGAGTGAAATGGGACATAAATTTAAAGTATTACCATTCAAGTGAGTAATGACAGAACCTAAGTTTAATCCAAGGATAGGGACAAAAATTTGATCAGAATTTGAATTCAAGAAGTAAAAAAAAGATTAATCAGACTAATAATAGTAGTCCATTAAACAAATACGCTGGAGGTTTTGAGGTAAAGAATCAGAATGCAGAAGTGAAAATCAATTCAATGTTAATAGGAAAAAGAATTTTTCATGCCTGACTTTCCTGATGATCTGCAATGTTTCTGGGGTAATACCTCAAATACAGGTCAAATTTGTGTTTCCCCCTGAATCACATTTTATGGTCACCAGAATAAAGGAAGTGATCACCAACTAATGGAGCTCTTAATTCTTAAACAAACTCTCCTTGTCAGCGCCTTAGTAAATGTATAGTGAACAGTATGGAGAATATGCATATGGATGTTGGGGGGTAAAGGGCTAATATTCTGATATTAATATTGAATGGTTTTGTGATTTTCGTTTTTAGCGACAGCCATTTCAGGCAAAAAATAATCCAGAAAATAACAAGTGGTATTCCCGAGATGTGGATGCTATGGCGGAAGTTACAGGCAGCTTGCCAATTTTAGTTGATGCTGATGCTGGTAAATGTTGATTGAATTTACTGGTATTATTACTC